CACTGAGCCATTTATCCCTCCGCCCTTCAATTAACCCCACATGCATTTATTGGCCAGGTTGGCACAATAAACTAACTCATCTCCCAATCATCACTCCTCATCCCTCTAAAAACACCATCTGCATTGCATTCTTTTAGAAGTCTTGCCCACAAGAGGAAACCTGGTTCCCTGGGTCTGGTGGTGTACTTCATCTAATCTAACCTGCTTTGCAAGGTTAATGAACTCCTTGCCACCGTGCCAGCTCTGACTCTGAGGGACTCTATAAGACAGAAAAGAACTGCCCCTGTAGGTCTCCGAGGCTTTAACTCTTTAAGGGAGTAGAAAGCCTCCTCTTTCTCCCACAGGGAAGCTGGAGATTTACAACTGCTGGTCTCGTGGTTAGTAGGTAGGTAGTGGGTGGACTTGCTGGAGGGAAGTGTTCGCACTGGGAAACCGTAAGAAACGCAAAGGGGTTTCAAAAAGTTCATGGACAAATTCTATTATCTTTAATTCCACTTTCCCCCACTAACCTTTTGAAGCCCCCCCTCTCAGGGGACCACTGGAAAATTAGGGCCAGGTTATGGTGTCCCTAATTCTAACTACAGGGACTCTGGCTAGTGAACCGTGTGGGCATGAGAGGCTCACCAGCTTTACTGAGGCCTCTCTGTTCTGATCTTCTCAGTTGAGCAACTTCAAGTGTCCCTTCGTTGATTTGGCCTTAATTCAACCCCAGATCAAAGAAAGCGATAGACCTGTGCGAGTTGTCAGTCTGTGTCTTGTAAACAAGTTCTAACTGATGGATAAGGTTCATGGGGAGGGATTCAATCATGAGAAAAAGACACTTGGCAACCTTCCCCAGTTCATGGTTTCTTCTTCCGTCTGGGCGGCCCTTTTGTGTCCAGTTTCATTTTCCGTGTCTCTGGGGGCGCCCTGTTGCCAGGCTGTCTTTACGGAAGTTTGGATGCTACTAAGAGCTCCACAGTCTGGTTTCTGATACGTCAAGTTCCTTCCAACCTCCCTTTCCAGGCACAGAAGGAGCTACTGAATAGGAATAGATGCAGCTTGAGTTACATGTAGCATCTATAGAAAGACACCAAGCAGTGACCTTGGTCATTTCTACCCATACCATCAGAGCTGGAATTAGGGTGAGGTGCATATGGACCTCACTTTTGGGACAACCTGTAGGGAACCCCACAGGACTCGAGAATCAAGGTAAATAATATTCTAACGCAATTTTTAGAGTTAATGCAAAAAGAAAGCCCTAACAGAAGAATATCAAAGCCTTAAATAACAGGGTCTGCCCTTGCCCTAGCCCAAGTTCACTTCCCTCGCCTCACCCTAATTCCAACCCTGTCCGAACAGATCTCGATTAAACGTTGCATTATTTTGTTCACTAGGAAATTTTGCCTTAATTTTGTTTTTTGTGGTTTTGTAAATGTTGACTCACAAAACACAGTGTTTCTAGTTTACCCGCATTTGGTGCCCCTTGAATGTTGTACCTAACCAGAGGACCGCATTTAGGTGACCCCAGCACCATCCCTGCCTACGACTCACTCTTGACTCTCACCAAAAGACCCATTGGCAAGGGACGAGGCATTAAAACACATTTCAGATTGGTGGTTTAATTCAGTACATTTTTATTTCTGTTTTATTGAATCAGAATGAAAACGTTCCAGCTCGGCACTACTGGAAGAATAGGAGGATGCTGGTGGCTGCAATTTCGCTCCAGTGTCCCCTGTCCACAGTGCAGGTCTGCCGCCAGAGGAGCCAGCGCCAGTCCCAACGAGAGAGGAGCAAAGGCACGGATCCCATGTCATTCAATAAATCCCTGGAAATTAACTGCCCCGATGTCATCACAAGTGACAAGAATGAACCCCTCCTTGGAGGAAAGGTGGTACCTGCAGGCAGGATACCTGGTGCCTTTGATGAGCCTGCAGACCGTCATTTTGAATCTTATGCTGCTCTGGAAGCAGGAAAGGGTAGTATGGTTGGGGCAAGCCATCTTCTGGGGAGAAGTGCACACCGCGTTGATTTTCAGAGGCCTCTCGTGGATGAAGACGTGCTCCCGTTTGCAGGTGTTGTCCGGCTCCTTGATGACTCGGTGTAAGATCATGGCGTTGCAGTACCGCAGGGCGACAGCACTCTGGGGGTAGTCCACGTGCAGCTGCTCTAAGGTGGCTATCTCAGGGTCTTCGTTCATCTCATTGTCCCAGAACAGCAGCAGCAGGAAAATGATCACCATGAATATGAACAGGGGTGTGAGTCCTTTAGCATCTTGGGCCTTAATTCCTGTAGAGTAAGGGGACATAGAAATGACAGACGGCGGTCCTTCACCCCAAAAACCTCCCTGCCATCGAGCCAATTCTGACCAGGAAGGTGCTCTGGCAGCTTAGTGGGTTGCGTGTCGGGCTGCTGATGGCAAGATCAGCAGGTTCTGCTCCTCGGTGGGGAAAGATGGTGCTTCGGAAAGCCCAGGGGCAGTTCTCCTGTCCCCTGGGGTCACTCTGAGTCAGCATCAAGTCCATGGCAGGAAGTTGGAGTTGGAGTCCCTGAACCCTTACGGCCCCAACCTCTGCTGGGACGGCCCTATCTTAGAAATACATTTCCCCTGCTAATTAAAATCGTGCTGATGCTGCAAGACCCAACTGGAGGGGGAGCTTCTCCAGGAAGCCAGGCCTGGTTCTCTGAGCTCTCATTTGGGTGTTTCACGGCTTGCTCACCATCCCCACGGTGTTTGTTTTGCCTCCCCACGCTGCCCGGCTTTAAGCACCATGTCTGCTTCTTCTGGTCCTTCAAAGGGCTCAGCGAGAGCTGACGCTCTGGACCTGCTCGCTGTCTTTCCCTCACCGAGTCCTTTCCGCTCCTTGCGCTCTCAGTACGTTCGATTAATCTGTCCTTCCTCATTCGCCCCCAGTCTCTCCTTGGGCTCCTCTGCTGCTGCTGTCTGCTGTCTGCTAGCCGCTCTTACCTGCCCTTTTTGCTGGCGTTCTCACAGGCAGCATGTTCTTGTGATCAGGGATCTGAGAAAGTCCTGTGTGCCTCCCTGCTCCCTGGCATTCCCTGGGACAGAGCCAGCTGAGTGTGAGGAGGGCCAAGGTGGAAAGAATGAAAAAGGAGGGACTTGCAGAAATGCGTGCTTTAGTGCCCTTGGGGAAGACTGGACGTTTCCTTCGGCGGGAGAGTGGGGAAGGCAGGTCCTAAATGAATCGTCATTAAACACGCGTAGACTTTGAAAGATCGCATCTATTCCAACCTCTACTTCGTGTCCCTACATTTCCCATCAGTTTTTACTGCATACCTGTGAAGGAGAGGCTGTCTCTGTCTCACTGATGAAGAAAGGAGTTGCAGAAAGGTGAAGCTGGGGGTGGAACATGGCAAGGACAACCAGAATCCCACCCTCTCAGCACTTTCCCTGCAGCAAACGTCAGTACCACGTGAAGCCCGGGCCGGTGCAGAAATGGTTGTCTAGAATTGACATGAATCCTAAGAAAGCCTTGCACTCCTGGAGGGTTGGGTTGCCAAATTCTGCCTCCCAATCAATCGAACATTAGAATCACCTGGGGATCTTTTGAAACGCCTGGCGTCTGCCTTCAGACATTCAACTTGGTTTCTACCATGCTTCATTTGGAATTGGGCATGCCCTGGGTTTGGGGATCATTAAAAGTCCCCTCCTTGCGGTTTTAATACGTAGTCAAGTTTAGGAATCCCTGATCTATGGTATACTTATGAAATTTAGATGGGAACTAACAGGAAGTCAGCTCTGGTTAGTCGATGCAGGGATGGGGAAACAAGGCGCATGTTACTTCTTCTTGCCCTAAAACTACTTTTCTTTTGAAAAGTGAGCTACAACGTCTTCTCTACATCTTTATATCCTTCCAGTAGGTAAGAATAAAACCATCTGAGGAAGTGGGCATGTGATTCGGTGCTGACCAGAGTTCCGACTCATCCCCCGACCCCGTGGCCAACAGCAGGAAGGGCTTCCTGGTCCTGTGTCAATCGTCCTCACAGTGATGGTTAAATTTGAGCCCACCGCTGCCGCTGTGGTGTCAGTCTCTCAAGTTGAAGGCCTTCCTCTTTTTGGATGACCTTCCACCAAACATGGCGTCCTCTTCTGGGAACTGATCGCTCCTAATAAGATGTCCAAAGTATGTGAGACAAAGTCGCTACATGCCAGCTTCCAAAAGACCAGTCGGGCTGTCCTTCTATTGCCCTGGTCAGAGGGCCCAAGACCGGTCTTGTAAGCTCTTCTATCAAGTCTGTGTCCCAATCATGGTCCCATTTTCCCTTCTGTGGTCCCACCTATAACTGTGATGCACTTTTCTGCCACCCGTCATACTTTCGTGACAGCCTCCCTTGGACTGGCATGTCCTACTTCAGTGGCCTCAGCTCTGTAAACCCTCAGATGCCATGGAGGCCTCAGGCCAAGGGTTTCCTTCACCCAGATGAACTGGCTTCGTCCTGTCTAAAACTTAATACATGCATCTCTCTAAATTAGAGTTGAGATTTGGGGGACTCGCTTTGGTCCCCCATGGCTATTCTCTTATAATGACAGGTCTCTAGCTACTGGTTCTATTTCTTCCCCACCCCCACCCCCACCCTCTGAGTCCCACCTGGTTACACACTGGGGCAGTAGGGAAGTGCTCTCTGCCTCAAGATCCCCATTCAGGGTGGTCATGGGGGATATGAGACCTTGGATCCTGGGCTCTGATCCAACTCCACAGAAGTTGAGGAGCGGGAGCTGTAATTTGGGAATATGGGGAAGTAGAGGTCTGAAATGACCCAGGGAATCGGCATTCTGAGTCAATGGGACCTTCATTAAAGCAACCACCAAACTCAAAAGCCAAATTCACTGTCGTCAAGCTGATTCCAACATACAGTGGCAGAGGAGAAATGCCCTTTCAGTGACTAACACTGAATCTTGTTAGTGTTAGTAACCTCATCTTTCTCCCTTAGAGGGGCTGGTGGTGACCTTGTGGTTAGCAGCTGAGGTCAGCCCCCAGGATCCTAAATCAGCCACACTCACTCTTACTTTTAATACAAAGGCACAAGGTAGCCGTACTCTAGGGGTACACTGGCCATGGTTTTAGGGTTTAACAGAGACCTCAAATCTCAAATATAATTTAAGATGAACTTAAATTGCATATGTAATTTGTATATATTTAAATGTATTTTCATTCACATATATAATTTAAGCAGAACATTTATTAAGTGTTGAACAGGACAAAGACAAGACAGAGATAAAGACAGAGCATCCAGATGATGAAGTCTATTAGCATGAGGTCATAATTACAGAGTACTAGATGCTTAAATAGGTCATAAGAGGGCAAAAAAAACTGTTAGTTTTCTGGGGTGGGTAGTACTCAGTTCTTTTCTTCGCTCACTAAGATTTTTTTATTGTTAAACTGCAGCATACAGGGTTTAATAAAAAAACCACATTTAATCAAGTGAAAAAATGATAAACTGAACAATAAACACTCAAAACAATCTTTTCCTTTGAAAACATGTTAAGCTGGATCCAGGATTTTGCTACCACCTTACAGCCCTTTTCTGATGTTTTAGGAGCCGGCACACTCCGCTTTCTGTAACCATGCCGATGTGAGTGGGAGTTTGAATAGGTAAATAACTGGAAAGAAAGTCCGTGTAAGGCAGAGAATCATTGTACAAGGCAGCCACGCTGGGTTTAGAGAACAAAGTTATTCAAGAACTTCTCTGTGTAGTGAGGTTCATTTTAGAATCCGTGACCCTTCAACTGTTCCTCCTAGACAATGCCAACCTCCAAGAGAAACTGGCAAATGGTTTCCTTTGGTCACCTTGAAGCTGAGTAACCTCCCTGCCATCAGGGTGTTCGATCACAGTCCCATTAGAGGGAAATGTCTTTTTGAGAGCTTTCCCGAGGGTCCTTTTGTCATAACCACCTGCGATGCCCTGAGCAGTGGTCAGTGTCTTTCTGCTGTTTCCTTGCTGGATTCTTAGACGAATCCATCTTCAGTCCCTGCCGGGAGTCAGCCATCGCCCTTAGCTGTATCAGCAAAGGGGTTGAAAGATTGAAGGCTGTGGATAGCGGACACGCGATGCTAGTGTGAGGCCGGTGTGAGGGGAGACAATTCCTGCAGGGCTGCCCGGATCCTGGTGTCGGGAGGCTGCAGTGGTGAGAAAACGGAAATCAATAAGTAACAGCTGCGCCCAGGGGATGGGATTCCACTGGGTGGCAAGAAGAGGAGAGGGGGGAGGAGAGGCTGCGGCGACCGAGGCGAGGAAGACACGCGGAAGCACGCTGGGGGATCCAAGTGGGTTTTTATGAAGGACGAGTTTCAGGTTTTATAGTCTCAAAGGGGTTCTCAACTGGGCCCGAACAACCACGTGGAAAAGAGCACCCACGCGTGTGGAACTGGGGTGTGCGGTGGGGATCCCGGAAGGCCAGAAGCCCAAGAACCCTAGAAGCTGAGAGCATGTGGGCCCAGAAGCTGTGTCCCCACCCCGCCCCAGTAGGCATGGGGTGGACGCATGTGCATCCACTCGGGGAAGGGGTACCCTCCCCCTCTACCTGCCTCTGCTGCCTCTGGCCAAGAAGGAACAGGGTAAGAGAGCACGGCTTTCCCACAGCTAGGATATTTCAAGCCTCTGGCTGGGCAGGCTTGGGTGATGGTATTGGTTGACCCCATTGTGATGTCATAAGCCTGGGTGATGTCATAAGCCTGGACCTAGTTTGGGTGCCCAGGTGTACTTCCCACTTAGCTGGAGGCTTCAGTATGAGCATGCTCAGTTTGGGGTCTTCATGGGTGTTCAATGGTTGCTTGATTTCTTTCCAACCTCCTCTGTGGGGACATTTGCAGGCATGGGGGGACAACCCCCTGTGGCTCATCTAGCCACCTAACAAAACTATCAGAGAAGCATGACTGGTGGCAGATGTATATGTCACCGTTACAGGCTGGACTACAGAAATGAAAACACGAACATGATAGGAATGCATACATTATGCTTAGCAGAAGAGTTTACAAAATAGGTCCAAAACACTCCAAACAAGGCAGTCAGAGCATGAATGGGGCACTGCAACCCCAGTACCCCAATATCCATCAAGGACACACCCAGGCAAGCCCCTAAGGGAGTCTGCTCCTGCCTGGGCTGGTTATGGGACTGGTAGTAAACCACTTTTTAACACACTGTGCCTGAAGGTAAGACCGCTCATATGCCTGGTTAGTAGTCAGACGGTTTAGGTAGGCGTAATTCCATGGGAATTGATCT